TATGATTTTAAATTTAAATATTTGTATTTATATGAGACGAAACCTCTGAGCATTCAATGGATTCACCGTGCGGGTGCCGGGTCCATCGCGTTGCAGGGAGAGGAGCTTCAACAGTGCCTGGGACTTGCGACCCAGGTGTAGGTTTAAGGGGCCCCTTAACCAACGCGCGTTATACGCTCACCTCCACTGTCCAAGTTCCTCTCCCTACCTAACCATATTTGAAAAGAACCTACTAGGGCTGCCTTTGACGTACGTTCCAAAAATGAATTAATGTTAGTTCTGGACAGGCCCAAGTCTTTTAGTAGGTTATAAAGAGATTTAGCTGTTATACCTCTCGCTCCCACCTCTACCGCGTACAAATCAACGACGAACCTATTTCGAGTTAGTTCGTTAGTGAGCTCGTAATGCTTATTGACCTTGATGGTATGGTCTTTGGGGATGTTGGTTTCCCAAGGCACCGTAAGCTCTATCATCACAACGCGCTTTATAAATAAAATAGATATTTCGCGATATTTAATTTTCAAGTCTAAAACACCAATATTTTTTAACTCGGTTTAACACATATTTCAAAACCAGTATGTTTTGTGAATAACTTTTGAGATATAATATAAAATTGAATATAATTTAAACGAATGATGGTTCTATTGCGAATTAAGTTATAGCTTAAAAAAAGATTACGAATGACATTAACAAAGTACAAATATTTATATACTTAAAATCTATTCTTTGACGTTTTTTTACATCTTTTATAACAATGACTTATTCCTATATTATTAAGGTTAATTATTAATTATTTTTTGAATTTTCTTGACTCTTTTGATCATAAAAGTGATAAATAGTCAAGCGTTTTTGTAAGTAGATACTATTAAATATCAGTGGTGTGCCCACCATAGATGCAAATGAGCTGCATACGCTACCCATATAACAACTAAACCTATATTATTTAATTCTTACTTACATACTTTTAATCATACATTACGAAATACAAATGTTTACAGACATTTAAAATATCATTTGATTCACGATTTGGTGTTATTGTTATCCGAAATTATTAGTTTAATTTAAATGAATACTTGAAGTCTTAGATCTCATTATTATAAATGTTTTAAAGAAGGAAATTATTATGAAAAATTGTATTTTATATTTCAATCATATTCTACTTGCCCCTGTTAAATATAACACTTTCTTATAACTTTAATTAATTAGATAATATTGTTTTACGGATCAGTATTTAGAAATCTAGATTTATAGTCAGTGGTAATTTTTTATATACACGAAAAACATAGACTTAGCTATTTACTTTTTCTCTATTAATTTCATTTTAATTGAAGAGTTTAAATAAAAAAACCTTTTACTTTCATATAATCATCAGTTTTGAAAAAAGGCGCTAATACATTATTTTAGGATTTTTTATTTTTCTTATCTCCTTCTGTTCAAATAAATATTTGTATTGAATCAACATTTTATTTTAAGCGACATCTATATCGTTGTGGATGAACTACATCAGTTTATCTGGTAACACAAGTTCAAATAATGTTATACATTTACGGAAAGATGTCTCTTGAGCTAAAATAATATTTTAAATTGCTACAATTTATTTTAGATAAATAGAAGCCTTGATAAGTTTTATAATGTGTTTTATTAATTTTTGGTTGTCATCAATTTATATATGATAAATAAAAAAAATAAACGAAAATCTGAGAAAGAATATTTTACATGACACGTCTAGAAAGTTTTTATAAAATTTGTATAAAAACTTTTTTATTCAAAACTTAAATATTTTAAATACAAGTATTACGCAACAGTTATACACAATATACTTAGTTCTTAGTTTCTTAGTGTCACGTTAATGAAAATTTATGTTTTTTTGCCTTCCTTTCTTTACACAAAAAATGCCAGTGACTCCGGAATTTCTTGTTTTAAATCTTCAAAAATTCGTCCTGGTGGAAGGTAGGTAGAATTGCAGCAGCTTTTGGAATTCTCAGTCGTTCTTTTTATTATAGATATAATAATCTCAACTACAATTTTTATCTGAGTTAATTTTATAATAAAACTTACCCTTTTGCTGAATTCGTAAAAAACTCGTTTTTGAGACCTTTGACCCAGTTGTAAATTTTTGCACTAAACGGATCTATGAGGACTTTTCACACATCCTTTTCAATAGTATTTAACAATCCTACCATTTAGCCTAGTCGTAACTTTTATAACCTTGGATGTCTTAATGGATTGGACTATTAGATTTGTAAATACATTTGATTTATGGATCCATTATTAAAAATGTAGTAAGTAATACACGGGGTATTAGCGAAACAAATAATTATTACCTGTAAACCATGTATTACACATAATTTATATACGGTCACACATCATTAAACGATTCTGTTGACCGGACACTGTTTTATTCAGTTAAAATTAATATAACCAGTTCTAGGCCTCGCTATTTAGCCAGTCGTAATTGAGTTTTATGCAAACATGTGGTAATAATTACATTGTAGTTGATAATACTCTGATCTAAATATTAATATTGGAAATATTAAAACATGTAATTGAATGAAACTAATATTTTCGGATTTTACTTCGCGTTTTATTTTAGAAACTACATACTCCCGACGTTTCGGCTACTTTTCAGCAACCGTGATCACCGAAAATATTAGTTTCATTTAAATGTGTACTCGCGAAAATCTTAGATCTCATTAACATGTAATTGGTTAAATCTGTGAAATAGAGATATTTTGTTTTATGTTGGATAAATCTTGTATAATAGCAATTATGTTTGAAGTAAAATTTAGCATTTTATCTACAGATACAATTAATATGCAATGCTAATGCTAAGTTCTAGGCATATCGACTGAGGATTAAGAACTACCTTGTACGGAAGAATGATAAAGTAGCTGTCATTGTCTCGTCATAACTTCGATTGTTCTCTATATTTTCTCGCAGTGTTGTTTTATATCTATTAACTAAGTTACTAATGGTGACTTGAGTCGAAGCCGTTAATTTTATTTCTTCATAAGTTAATCCCGGATCGTGTCTCCTTAATTCTACATGACACAAGCAGAATATACACGCCTTGATGAAAGCCATATTTAAAACAACCAACCAACCGTATCTTTTAGAAGTTCTTTCATCCTCTCGTCTCTCTTCTCATTGATCCTTGCTTACTTCTATATCCCAAGTTGGTCACAAGGATTTACTTATAAATATTGTACTCCTATATCTTCGGGGATAGTGCAAATCCGCGTAACTACCTTTGGATAATTCCGCGTATATACATCGGAAGTAGATTATCAGAAGAAAGTTTAAACTAAAATATGTTCTAGATTTATGACTTTTAGGGTAATTTTTTCACAATTAGTAATAAATTAAACACTAAATAATTACTATTTACGCGGATTTGCCGACGATATACGGTCCATTATAATATAGGCTGGTCGAACATAATGTATGGTGTTAATAAAATTACAGTATCTATAGTGAGCTGTGCATGTAACGCTACAATAATCCCAGCTCACGTCCGCTTGTGTAAGTTATGTTATTATTGTGACACAACGATGACACAGGATCAATGTTTAACTTTACTAATATAGTTACGTCATTTTTGGAATAACTTTATCGTTAACATCTACATGAATAGATTAGGTATATACGGAGAAGGAATAGTGTTTTCATCGGGTAATAAATATCTTCATATTTTAGTCATAACGTAGGTGATTAAAATGAAAAAAATAATAATGGAAACATTTGGAATTAGTTTTCAATTGTTAGGTGTTAACTTATAAATACATTATTAAACTACCTGGTGAGAATTTGTTCTCTTTTTCCCTTAGTTCAATTTGTTTAATAGAATATAGTCTAAATTAATATCATGTTACTTAATATTTAATAATAACTTTACAGCCTGACTTCTTTAAAAGATGTTTTGTATTCATCTATAAACATCATATTATATTTGTAATGCCATTAAATTGTTCTATTACAACTTTTGTTTTCATTTCTTTAATTTATTTCGTTTTTCTTTAAAATGTTTTATAAACAATCTAATGCTGATAAGCCTAACAAAAGACTGCCTGTTACAATACATAAATTGTTAAGTAACATTTGCAATATGAATACACATTTGCATATAAAATTGTTCTGCATTTTGTTCAACCAGTTTTCAGTAGTTGTTTTCGTTCTCATAATTATAGATAACCAAATTAATTGTGTATTAATTGGTCTACTGTTACAGGTTACTCTGTTATATAGCTGTTGAAATGAAGGAAGTTTTACAAGAAGGTATTTTAACAATAGAAAAATTGAAATTATTAAGTTTGATTATTATACTACATATGCCTGAGTATAGTACTATGGATGTAAAATACGAAAACTGTATGTTTTTTTAAATAAGGTATTATACACCTTTTGAAAGAAAAATCTGTTTATATTTTGATGATAAAAATGAGTAAAGTAATTTATATTTATTTAACCTGATGTAAAATGTTTTATTAATACTTTCAAATAGTTGGGGATGAATAAAATGATAATATATATTCAAAATACATTTTATTAGAAAAAAATATAAAGATCGATAATATTTTTTCGACTGCGGACGAAATAAACTCATAAAAACTATACAACTAAAGAAATCCTATATACAATAGTGAATCCAGGTACAATCGAAGTTTTGCCTCGGATGTTCAGGGCAAAATCAGCATCAATTTTATACAGAGTGATGAAAATCGTTGAATTACGCCTCGCATAAACTTTATTCTAACCCTCATACACCATATTTTAACTTCTTTAAAGACGCCAAAACACAATCACTCTTAAAACTAAGCTAGCCTACATCACAAGACATCAACCGGACTAAGTAATGCCTACCGAATTGACAACGGTTATTAGATGCGAAGAAATTATTAACGCAAAAACTTTTAAGCATTCTATTAAATTTATCAGTCTAAAATATTGGGCTAAATATCCAAATTTCAATGAGTGATCTAACAACCGAGGGATTAATCGGTCTACCAGATTTTACCGTGACCGTGGCCGTGGATGCCACCGCCATAAAGGCCACCGCCATAGATGCCGCTGCTGTAGCCGCTACCGCCATAGATGCCGCCGCCAATTCCGCCATAACCTCCGCCAATGCCAATAGCTCCGATACCAGAACGAATGCCAGCCACAGCTACTGGAACTCCTACGGGTTGTGGAACTGGAACAGCCACTGGCCTAGCAACAGGTACTGGGTATGGTTGGGGAACAGGGTATCCCACCTAGAAGAAGGACATAAATATTAATTATCATGTAAGGATTATCATCAAAGGATTTATTCCTACTTTTAATTCGATTAAAAGTGAAAGTAATGAAATTTTATAATACAATAAGCTAGCTTTTTGTGGAGTAATCGTAGAGTAAAATAAAAGTTTTTGTGGAGTAATTGTGGAGTAAAATAAAAGTATCATGTATCAGCTGATACTCGTAGTTATTTAGTTCCAGAAATATAATGATAATTACTTGTTTGACGATTGGCACGGGGACTGCGTGAGGTACTGGCACTGGCACGGGGCGGTCTACTGGCACTGGCACGGCCTTCTCAACAGCCACTGGGTACGGTCTTGGGACGGGCACTGCGTAGGGCCTGTCTACTGGCACTGGCACTCCAACCTGGAATTTTTGGTAACACAAAATAATGGTTTGTTCTACTACATCAGACATTTAAATTCCTACTCTATAACCATAGTCTTTTTGGTTCATTTTTAATCGTCTCACGTATTTTTTAATGGACTTTATTTCTTCAACATGACCAGCCTAAAATAGAACAAGATCCTCAAACTGTAGGATTATTTCTGTAATGTTTTTGACGTTGTTTATTATTATTGTTTTTAAAGTTTACCTTAACGGGGTAAGGCACTGGTCTGTCAACGGCTACTGGATATGGGGCTGGAACAGGGACTCCGACGTGTTTTGTGACGGTTGTGTGGACATCAGCACCAACGATTGCACCAGAGGATAAACCAATGCCTGATCCGATTCCAACACCGCTCACGATAGCCCCAGAGCCAATCCCGGAGCCAAGACCGTATCCCCCATATCCGCCATAGCCATATCCACCATAGCCTCCGTATCCGCCACTAGATATGATAGCTCCGCCATAATGACCAACAAGTCCGCTACGTTTTTGGACAACCTTGCTCGGTTCCGCCAGAACCGATGCAGTTATGAAAAGAATTGCGATCTGGAAATTGCAAGCAAACAAAACATAAAATAACCAATTTTGTTGCTTAATATTTTGATTTTATACATAAAATGATTGTTTTAAACGAAAACATTAAAAACTGAAAGTAAATTTGGTGCCAAATTCAATATGATTCGGTTACAAAAGCAAAAAAGCTTTTCACTATTACGCGTTATGACTTCATCATTGTAATTCGCGCTGGGTCCTTACAAACGAAATTCATTCCGTGTATTGAATTACAAATTATCGTGATCGAATTATGGCAGTTTATGAATGATTAATGTCCGTCCTTTGTTATTGTTTATGTTTTCGCTTTCAATGAATTAATTATATGCTTAACTTAATTTGAATTAACATTATTTTGATTACAGATCATTTCAAATCATGTGTCGGGCGATTTAAGCCAATAATTTAGATTTAGACTGAATAAATATAAGTCAATTTAGGGAAAAAATATTTGGTTTATATTAATTTTTGTTTTATTAAAAGATTAATATTATTTACTAGAAGACCTGGCGAACTTCGTATCGCCCTATAATAAAGAAATATCTATCACGTTTTTTTATTTATATTTTGGAGTTTACCTGTAAGCCATAAATCTCCGTGTTTTGAAGTGCGACAGAATGATTGACATATTAGTTAGTTGTCAAATCTAATGTCAAAAAAAACGTTTTTATGGGAAATAGAAAAGGGGTGTTTTAATGGTTTTCCCAGTAATGAATCAATTTTTTTCAGCTTTTATACCTTCCCTGAATCTCCACGAACATATCAAGACTAAGATAAGATAAATCCGTTCAGCTGTTCTCGAGTTTTAGCGAGACTAAGGAACAGCAATCCATTTTTATATATATAGAAGATAGAAGATGTAGGAATATTTCCCTGTTCCCTGTTCCCTTAGTGAAAAATAATTACAAAAAGTGAATAGGAATTAAAGATGTTGCTGACTTTTGTGCAGAAAAACTTTTTATCATATTATTATTATTAATTATAAATTAAAATGGAATAAATAACAACTACTGGACTTTACCGATTCCTTACTAATACATACGAGTATAGTAATCACTTTTATACACAATCGTGGGAATTACCGTATTTATAAACGTTTTTATGTACCTACAAATACACATAGGACATTGTTTGAAAATTTAAAAATCTACATTCGGAGTTACCATTAGTTAAAAAGCGACAATAATAATATTTTTTAAATTAATTTCTCTTAATAATTTTAGGATAAAAAATCGTTGTAAAATCTGATTTATTTTAAACGCAACTTACTAATTAATATTTTATTGATTTATATTTTTCATTTTAATTAATTTTACGGTCAACGATATATCACAAATAATAAATTAATAAATTTAACACTTAAACATTTTTAAATTGACTTGACTTTATATAGATATATAAAATATAGTATTGGACGTACAAATAAAAAGTTAAAATATAAATTAGACTTACAAAAGCCCTCATAATGTTTGATTCACAACACTGTACTGTGATGTACGCAGTGTGTACCGGGACTTATATAAGGGCTCGAACACCCCACTCGTATTACTTGGCTAGTGGGGTCATACTATTAGATGATTTTGAACATTATTCTACCATATATTTTTTTATTATTTAGCATAACCAAAAAAAGTATATAGATTTATCCAAATAAAATTCTAATATATGAAAAAATATAACGTTATTCATAAGAATATATAAATTTTATTTATTAATTTTTCATGCACTGTAATCATTACAGAAGCATAGATATAAATCAATTTAGTAATTTTCCACAAAAATACGCTTCATTTACCAAACTGTAATAATGTTTAATTCGGTACAGATTTTAGATAATAAACAGGTTTAATACAATGACTTCCTGATACAGGGCGTATTTCTACATAGAACTTAAATATCTAGTTCAATAAGTTCACACTGATAACATCCTGTATTGTGTAAATTTAGCTTTGTGTTAGTCACTCAAGACGTAATTATTTTGGACTATATTTATTATTTGGTCTAGTATAATATGTAAATGGTTTTAGATAGAAATGCTTCAGTAAAATTTAATATATTTGGGTAATGGGTCTATTCTTGTGTAATAAATTTTATGTAGATTTCACATTTCATAAAAATAATGTAGCCTTTTTCGTTAAACGTCGCAGTCAATAATTTTCATCACAAAATTATGAATGATTTTTTTTATTGAGTGTAAAAATAATTAATATTTAGTTCATTGCTAATTCGTTTTTTGAAAATATGTTTGTGTGCTCTATTTTTTCTGAAGGCGTTTATTCTGATTGCTCAATAGAAGCTGATAGTTAAACTTCTAGAACTATTTCTAAGAATAAATCTCAGCGTCTTTAAAACTTAATTTTGTTAACAAAAGATTCCGTGTATTTTTTAGTGCATTACGTATATTTTTTTCTTTTTGATATGTTAATATATATTTTATTTGTATGGCTATGTCTTGTTCTTCATAAATGTCAAGATTTGATTAAAATAAATGATAATCTCTTTGTCAAGTTGTGAAAAAACATTTTTAAATTGGCAACCAGCAATAAATTTTTGTATCATAATATATATAACTTTTCAGAAACATAAAAAGTATTGAAGATTTTTTTTCTAAATATAGCCTAATTTATAAGAACATTTTAAATACAATGTTACAAATTATAATAATAATATTCGAATATATAAGAAATTATCGTAAATGTAGGTATTGTTGTTGAAACGATTTCCTCTACTGGGTTACTACATACATTTGTCATTCGTTAATTTTAAAATAAATTTATTTTTAACAATTTTATTTCGATTATTAAAATTATCTATACATTTTATTTTTCCTGTAAATTTTGGAGAATATCCTATTAGCGGTATAGTTTCTTCTAGCAATCATAGTTTGTCATATAATTATTTTTTTTGTTTAAGCTAAGCTAAAGTAATTATCTGAACACACATATTATACATTATATATTTTAATAGAATTTACTCGTAATACAAATTATTTGATAAACAAAATGTGTAATAAGAATCTATATTTAAAAAAAAACCGTAAACATTTCATTTTTAATATATTTATGGTATAATAATTATTGTGCTATGATATTTGTCAATTCCTTTCTAAGTAAAGTCCTTAAGAACAGGGACATTATTAAGTAATTTCGCTAACTTGCTGTGGGCGGATAGATTGTATTGACCAATGTTACGTTTAAGAAAGGTTAGACCTTTTAATTTGCATCGATATGAGAATTATGGTGTTCTGAATCATAAATTGCAGCCATGCATTGTATTAGGCAATAGTTTTGCAATCGAATGCATTGTTAATTAATTATTAATTAATAACCAAATACAATGATTTTGTCATCTTTTTTTGCTATTTTTAGTCAACTTTTTTTAATTTTCTCGCTTTTGTTTCAATTGGTTCACTTTAATTAATTTTACTTCCTCGCGAATGCTGTATTTTCTTATTCATTATTAAGAACATTTTTTTACATTTTTCAAGGGAATTTCAAAATTTTCTGTCATGGTTCAATGTTATGAAACAATTTTTAGATTGTTTGTCTATTGATGAAACTATCGCCCACCGGTTAATTATATTCATTTGTAACTAATTTGCATATTGACTTACAGCTAACATAATAAATTGTACGCTTTGAAAGGACCACTGTTCCCACAGAACTGATCTAGATTTTATAATAATTACTAGATGAAGTATGTGCCTGGAAGTTGTGAAAGCAAATTCGGCATTATCTGTTGTGGAATAGAGTTAAAAATAGGTTGTTTTGTGATGATTATTTTATGTTATTTCTATATAGTTCTTTGTTCAAGGACGTTCTTGGTATTGCTCCCAGTTAGTATGTTAGCAGTTTCTTTCTAATGCCAAATTCCTCGCTGGTGTTGTAAGGGCATTTTAATAACCCCTGTTTGGTGACCTATTTGTCATTACACTCTACCCACATGCATTTACAATACAGTAATATATGTAAATATATTGCATTTCTTAAGTTTTCAATACCAATGTCGAAGTTGAAGTCCATAGAGTTTTTTTAATTTTATTATAATAAATCGCAAATGTATTGAACAGATATTATTAATTATTGATTATTAATATAAATTTTTCAATGATAATATATTTTTATACAGAGAAAATATTCTTATCAAAATTTTTGTTCGATAATAATGCATATCAAAAATTTTACATCACATATTTTCCAAACACTTTTTCATGTTTCATTTTAGTGAAATCAAAAAAAGGCTTTTGGGGTAAACTCGTCATAATAAAATATATATTATTAATGCACCGACGGAACCCTCAGCTGACTTTTAAGTTAACGTTTCTCTATCTATATACGGATCCCTAATACTGATGTAATACAGTCACGCATATAACAACGTGTTTTCTTTTAGGATACTGGTTCACTATAGATTTAGCGAAGTAGCGGACCATTAACAAATTATGCTTCAATATAATACAATTGTTAAAATTCTTCTTCATTATTAATTAATTTCTTCCTTCTATTGTTATGCCTAGTGAAGTTTTAGTCTCATAACGAAGACAAAAATACGAAACGTGAAAATATATTTATTAATATTAATTGAATTATTCGCAACCACAAGCCATTTAAACTGTTCTACAATACTGTAATGTACAGTAATCTATATTAGACAATTTCGTAAAACCATAAATATTACTGAATTACTTCGGACTAAGAATTGTATTTATCGAAAGTTCAACCGTTTAGTATGATAAAATCAGGAAAATTAACAATCATTGCCTCTTATTGTCTAATAATAAGAAAGTCTCAATACTAATATACAAATTCTATTAAAATAAACATTGTATAGTAATATGAAACACGTTTTAACATATTATGAAACTTTTATAAGTATATGTAGATTAAAAAAGAATATTACTATTTTTTTCATAATATTATAAAGATACAACATATATTTGGGACATGCTAATATTAAAAATAATATAATAAAAAATATTGATTTTTTTTTCTAATTAAAAACTAAGAAACTGAAAGCATTATTAAATGCTATTCACACATATACATGTTTTGTAAGTATTACAAAAAAAAAAATAGTAAAAAAATACGATGTATAAAAAATATTTTTTCTATAATTTTTTGTGTATCAAATGTAAGTGTAAATGCTAGTGTATAAATAGGTTTAGATTATCGTAATAGTTATAAAGTTTTATTATCTAAAGCCTTGCTTTATTCGTAAGGCGTAGTCTGAGTCATGTAGCCATTATGACATAATTAATGCAGGTTTATCGATGCATCTTTTTATTGATTTGGCATTAGAAAGCGAACTAGCCTGTAATAAAAAATTTATGAGTACTGTTACATTTTTTGAACAACCGTAAGTATTAGAATAATATATACTATTTAATTGAGAGAAAAACTTTAAAAATATCACTGTTCATACTCAGTTTTTGATATAGTTTAATTAGTTTTGCGATTATAGTTAGTATTTTTTCATTACATGCAAATATTTTCTTACGCATCATACGTTCGGTTCCTCCTCATTCTTTTTTATTGTTTTGTATAGCATGCGAATTGAATTGCAAGATATATTCCTACGTTTTTAAATGCTTGCGCAAAACAGAAGTTTGTCATTGTGGGTTGTTATATTGCGCAATGTTCAATAACTGTTTGAAATGTTAAAAAATTTGCCTTTGTTCAAAATGTACACATTATTGTATCTGTTTATGGGAACGTTCGTATTTTTAGTATGAATTGTTACTGGATATATACGTATTGTTCTATTTGAAAATGTTATGAGATAGATAATGATATATGTCTTAAATTTAATTTAATTTTAACTAGGTCTGGACTAATGTGGAATTGAAAATATCGAATTACAAAAGTAATTCATGGTATCAATGACGGTTCATAAGTATAAAGACGTACGGTAAAAATTAAACTAAGATATAATTAAAGACTCAAATCCTGCGATGTATATGACCATATATTGTTTAATTTTATTTATTAATGCCTGAAATTATAAAGATATACTTAAGTTTGTCGGTGTTATAGATGTCCTGACACATATTCTTACGTAAAGAAGATTACAAAGTTACTGGTTCTATAGAACAAACCTCGCCTTTTCCGTTGCAGTTACGTGTAAAGAATGTCGGTCGGTCTGTCAGCTAATAAGGTTAAAAGATTTCCCGATCTACCTTTTTCAAGACTGCCCAGGTAGACTAATTGCTTCCTTGTTTTAAATCTAGGTTACATCTGAATCTCTAATTTATTTTTATTTATCCTGTATATTATTCTAATTATTAGTTTTTTATTGATTGTATAACTAAGAGTAGAATAGTTTTTTTAATATTTTAAGTATGTATGTATTTGTAAATCGTTTGGGATCGCTGATGCTTGTAGCAAAAAATCGGTGCGCCGACCGATTGAACTACTTTTGGTAAATAATAGACATTCTGTACACACAGACAGACGTACGAGACAGTTTTTTTAAATATAACGGCATATGTTACACCACATCTCACTAGTTAAGAGAATGAAATGCCCAAATTCGGAATAAGGTAGTCTTAAATACATATATATTTTCTTTAAGACTTTCTAATCATAATTATGAATGATAGATTTGGAAGGAATATTCGTTTAGGCCTGATATATAAAGATATTAAATGCTGATAATATCTTACATCTTAAGTACAAAATTCTCGTGTTGACGTGTTAGACAGAAAAATCCTCCGAGATTTGATAAATTTTTTTGAGCATATTAACTAGGTCTGTGAATCAGCCAACATCTACAGGGTGACTGGTGAATTACTATCAATATTTGAGGAGCATACTCGGTACATGATTCTCATTCGAATTATGTAAAAAAAATAGGTACTTAATTTTTGACCAAATTTCCGTATAAATAAATAAAGTGTGTACACGTTCCAAGTGTTCCTAGTGTGGACGCGTGCGGCGGCGTGCTGATACAACAACACGCCGCCGCGCGCGTATGTGTGAGTGTGTAGTGTAGAGTAATCTGTAGGGTGTTCATACGATGCGTAATTAATTACACAACTTTTGGTTAACTTTACTTAGAAGTTTATTAATATTTATGTTATATTAATTTTTATTTCGTCATATATGATCGTCAAATATCACGTCCTCAAATATCGATAGTAATTCACCAGTCACCCTGTATATTTCATACCCCTAGTCATAAAGGTTGACCCTTAATTTTTTTTTTTTGACGAATTTTTTTTAAATTTAATATAGCATTAAAAATACATACAACCCAAAACTCCTATTTTTTATATGGATAAACAACGTTTGCCGAGTCATCTAGAAGTATATAAATTATTAATTTCAAACCGTCTTACCAACGGATACATTTGTACACGTTTCCTGTAGTCCTTTATGTGTACGTAATTAAACTGAAATATTACCATTGAAACGTCACTTCTAAAGGATTTACATACCAATTAACATTTGGTATAATATATTGATATGAATAAACAGAATGTTATTAAATTTTGCTTTAAAATTACAAAAAAAATCTTTATTAAAATTCTCTTTCCAATATAGGTAAGTAGTGTTGAAACTAAACATACATATATTGATATGTTCGTGCCGATGTAAAAAAACTCATAGACTTAATAGCAAAATACTAACAATATTATTTATAAAGACTAAAGTCTCGTTACAAAAAAAAATCTGTCTGCACTGGGCTTTGATATTGCTTGGGTTTTTTTATCAGTTAAAGTTTAAACAAGTAATAATTTTTTATTTTTATGTTAGTATTATTTTTGTTTAATATTTGTTCTCGAGGAAAGATGGGACTTAGATTTAGCTTTGTAGCTAAGAAGTCTTTGAATATGAAAGGACAAAAATTTCTTACTCAATAGTTGACATTGCTATTATAATTTATCCGTGTGACAGAAGATTGCATACTAGTGCTGGATACAAATTCCTGGTCTTAATTCCCACTATGGAATACAATAACAGCATCTCAAGTATCATGGACTGATAAATATCACCTAAAATATAAAGCATTTCTAACCCTAAATGATCTAAGCCACCTAAATAGCATTTAAAATAGCATTTAAAAGTGAAGCGAATACTTCGTTTTTAATTTCTTTTTTCGTTTCTAATAGTCAAACTTTATATAGAGAAGGAGTATATAAGATTGTTGTAGTTTAAAAGTATTTATAAGATTATCAATTAATTATAATAAATATGTATTACACACACCATCGTGATTTTGAAACATATAATGTTTCAATCAGTGTTGATTTATCAAAATGTGTATTGTCACTAAATGTAAGGTAATGGACTTTTATTTTCTACTTACTGAACTTGAAATAATCAAATAATTATGGACAAATGTTGATTCGTGTAACAAATGAAAACTTTGACATTGGCAAAATATGAACAGAATATAAAAAGTATGAACTTTTTAGTTAAATGTACTATTCGAAAAATATTAATTAGAATTGTAGAAGTAATTATAATCACGTCTTATCTTCAAGAAAAACAATAGGAATTTGAAGAAAATTGTTCATAGTTTTTAATACAAAAAAAATAATACAAGGAACGTGATACTTTAAAATCAATTGCTATGCCATTCACTTACTTTAATACATATGAAAGTATAAAATAAACAATAAGCAGAAGTACAATAATGTTATGTATATTAAAGTTGTAATCCTAGACTCCGTCCAATAACGACGCAGTGGTATAATAAATGATTTCAGGCAACAAAACTGATGTTTAACTTAGAATTACTTTTATGAAATTCATTTCTATACTTTATAATAACCTTAAGTAACTGTATATCTGCTTAAAAATCCTTCAACAAAGTAAAATTCGTGTGCAACAAATGCACGGACACAATTTCTCCGGATCGTTCAGGGTCTACTCCTCATATGTAAACCGTTGATAGATGGGCTCTTAATAAAATGTCGAAATTTAATATTACGTAAAGTATTTCGTTCGGTATGTTCGATCAATATTTATGAGACTTTCCTGTCAATACTTGGAATACCTCACGCGGTGCACTCGTATCCTAATTTGGTTACGAGTTTGGTAAATGTTAAGAGTATGTGACTTATTACGTTGGAGAAGTAACATTATCCTTAATTAAAAAAAATTGTGTATATATAGAAGTGTATTGATATGGAATAAAAATTCATTTTTCATGTTAAGATAATTAAAAATTTGTTTATATGTATAACTATTTTTGGGTGAGCAAAGGAGTTTTTCTTTTAATATTATTCAGTGTTTTGCATTGTTCATGAAGTTGATTTGAAACAAAACCTTTAGTAGTGTATTGTTACTTGTAGTAATTGTACGCAGATCTTTTGAGAGCTAGCTTGATAAAATAGGAGACTGCTGAGATCCTTATACGATAATTCTGTTTACTGGAGGTGAATAATCTTAATAGTGAAATGCAATTGGCAGACCCTGGCTAAATCTGGGAAATTACCAGGAAGAAGAAGAGTGAAATGCAATTGGAGTAACATTATCAGTTGATCATGGGCAGGCTTCAAACTCATGGATTTAATATAATAGACTAACATTTAGTAAACACAGGACTAGCAGTTGTAAACACAAGTTGTTATATATTTTTGAGTAGTGCTAATATTTACACAAAGGAGCAATGGTAATATTTTTCTATCAGATAAGACTTTGGATGATAATATAGGAATACTTTTTGTATTGTGTGATATCTTAGCAGGTGGGGGGTTAAGGGAATAAGCTAGTACCTTAATATTTTAAGGGTGTAATAACTCTCAAGTACTCGTAATACAATTCAAACTTCAGAAGAGAACAAATTTTACTTCTAAATTCAAACACCGTCTTTGTTATAACGATAAAGACGTATCATTAAATAATCAGTTTATATGCTAATAAATTTTAGAAAGATAAAATGACTAAAAAACAGATAAACTTTATATGAATTTATCTGTGAATAATACGTGACTAACATAGTTTAACAAAATCAATTAGACAAAAAATGTATTACATAATTATTACGAGCTGTTACGTTGATAGTTGGTCTGGATCCAAACTTGAATTGACTTTATAAGTAAAGTTAATGTGTGAGATACACTGAGATGTAATTACAAGAGCTGTTTTTACTATTCAGCATTGCTAATAGTTATTATTAATATATGTAAATTGTATGAAAAATGCTTAGAGAAATTATTATTGCATGGATCTTATTTTTGCGTTTATAACTGTAAAAACATGGCGTTACTTTTTCTCTTTTATCGCCTTATTTTTGTTAGTTATAAATAATTAAAAATTATTTAATAATACATATAGTATTTTATTAAAATATCATGTTTATTTATTTTATGTTATAAAACCAATGCACCTATTTCTACAGTTTAAATATGAGTGCTGCAACTCGATGCATTATAGCGAAATTTTCCTACTTTTTTCGTTGATGTAGAGTGTTGGTCAGTTAAGTTCCTGAAGTTTAGTTGAATCATGTATGACATATAAATACCAAAGACGTTTTGTACAAGAACATTCACAGCTTGTATCTTGACAGCCAGCGTCATGTTTCGTTACGCTTTCGTAAGTAAAATAGTTTATGCAAGCATTTAATAACTATTATTAAATTTAAAGAGCAAATTATTAAGTTTATAATGTGTATTGTTTTAGGTTCTGTTCGTATTGTGTGTTACCGCACAAGCGAAACCAGAGAATCAGAAGCGATCAGCGTCACCTCATATACCGATAAGGCACAGTTATTCGGAGTATCAAAATAATGTGGCCATACCAATACCACAGCCGGTGCCAGTGAGTGTGCCAAGGCCAGTGCCGGTTGGTGTCCCAGTCGCTGTGCCAGTGGATAATCCACGCCCAGTTCCAGTATCAGTTCCACAACCTGTGGCCCAAGTTATTGCAAGGCCGGTGGCTGTACCGGTGGATCGTCCTGTGGCAGTTCCAGTTTCTCAGCCCGTTCCAGTAACTGTGACCCAAGGTGTAGGTATCCCAGTACCACAGCCATATGCTGTCAGCGTGCCAGCGCCGGTCCCAGTGGGAGTACCACAACCAGTTGCAGTCCCAGTTGTGGCACAAGCTGTTGGAATTGGATTAGCTGGTTCAGGAATTGGAATTGGTGGAATTTCTGGAGTAGGTCTTGGTGGTTTGTCGTCTGGCATATCCATCGGGGGTTTATCGTCCGGTATAGGTGTTAGTGGAATATCTTCGGGTGTAGCTTTAGGTGGATATTCTTCTAGCATTGCTCATGGTATTGGTACTAGGATATTGGCTCCAGTATCCATTTCTCATCCAATAATAACGTCTGGTTCAGGATATGCATCAGGTTACGGTGGCGGATACATATCTAGCGGTCATTATGGCCACCATTAGTTATACTCTTAGTTTTAATGTACTTTAAACGTTGTTAAATATAATACTATCACCTAAATTGTGGGTATAGGGTCTCTTTTATTATTCTAGTCCAATTTTCGTTTGTATGTCATGAGTTTGATTATTATATGTTTTAATTGGTTAAACCTTTGTAAAGAGATCGTTTTTAATAATTAGTAACTATAAAATTTAATTATCAACATTTAAAGATTATCCAAGTAATGAATCTAGTCTCTCAAGAAAATATTTGACTTGAATTCATATGGGAGTTTTTGTCGTTTTGTTTGTGTGTAAATGTTTTAAGACTGTATATAATTTTATAACGGTTAATTCCACTCCACCCACCTTTGTCTATTCATTATATGTGTTCTACTAATTATCTTTAATAAAAATTGTATATAAAATTAAATGGCTATTTATTTCTGAACGATAATATTTTAAAACATTTGATATATCTAACTTTATTAACTACACAGACGTTGTTTTCAACAAACTATACTTTTTAAAATTTTATTTTGTTTTTAATTCCGTAAGTTTACATTGGTAACCTTCTGTTCTTAAAATTATTCTAGCAATCGATTTTATTGTATTTGAGAATAAAAACCAAATATTATTTGAAACTTTAATCAGTTATAATTTAAACAAGTAAATATGTGTATCGTTAAAGGACGTGACTCACAGAAATAATAATTAATTTTATAATGGAGTTTGATATTGTAAACAAATCATAATGTCCTTAAGGCGAATTATAATCTATTTGAACTGATAATGTCCGTTTTATCAGGCGATAGCATTTTGTTATGATAAGATATGTGGACATCGCTAGTATGATTTGTGATGTCGGACAATAAACTACATATACAAACATTTATTCGTAAAAGGATAAAATAATAGAAATTGGTTCATAAGCAAGATGAAGTCGAGTAAGTTTTTACATAATATTCTATTATATGCAGTTTTGTGTCATTTCGTGTATTGTGTTAACAAAATGAGGATTTGGTTTGGTTGATTTTTTTAATCGATATATTATAATTAGCGAAAGGTGCCGTGAAATGATAAGACATTGTACATGTGTATAGATTTGTTTAACTAAGAATCAGTATAAAAATATGTGTTATATTGAAGACGATTTTGAATATGTTGACAGTTATTAATATCATGTTGTATTTACGAACGCGCAATAAAGTCTTTATTAGAAGTAAAGTCGTGAGGTTTAAAGTTTTTTATAGTTTCTCTTTGGTGGTGTTAAATTTATAGGTTTTAGTTTCATTTGGATTTTGGACATCTGAATCGAAGGATTTATTGATGTGTGACTTTTATTGCGAGTGGCAACACATGGTTTCGTATTTTCGGTAACATATGAATACAATTTTTGTAGAAAAATGTTGATAAAATAACGATTCTCCCTATCTAACCTTCCATAAACATGATTGTTGTAAATACACAAAGTAAATTGTTCACTAATTGCCAATAGATGTCGCTTATGAAAATATAAGTATATGAATATATTTTATATATGTTTTATCCAAAATGATCAATAAAAAAAATATACTACTATTATTTTATAATTTCTATATATATTGTTATTTTTTCCTACGGTATGATACGAAATATTAAGGATTTTACTGAATTGGTTTAATTACAACTGATAATGTACTAAGTATGTTGTCATTTTGACATAATGCCTACATATCCGACGTCGTTTAATTCAGTCAGTCTGGGAATGCAATAACAAATATTCTAACATGGATAAATATGGTTAATCCCTTTAATATTTGTACAAGTTAAATATACAAAAATATCTGAGAAGGTGAAACGGTAGCCAACGATAAGTCACAATACAGCTACGACCTGTATGAATTAATGAGAAAAGTAGCAAATACTATGTCAGAAGAATGAATGATGTGTGAATAATTGAATAGAGATATATTAATAATATACAATAAAGGAACAAAAAGCCAACATCACGCGGTGTTTCCAGGCGGTCACCCATCCAAGTACTGACCGCGCCCGACGTTGCTTAACTTCGGTGATCGGACGAGAACCGGTGTATTCAACGTGGTATGGACGTTGGCAGACAGACATACACAAGTGTTCTCCCGGCTCTCCTTACGAGTCCCTAACACATATACATAATGGAAAATATAATAAACAAAAAAAAACATCGGCCAATCAATTATTCTTAACACGAGGATACTTGACTTCATTTAATTGTATAAATAGTACTATGTTGTATTAAAGAATCGTCTTCGTAAAATCTCATCTTAATTATTAATTAATAACATTCCAGTTATATACAACAAACCGTGAATTCTTATAAAACGTGTCCTTATACATGAAGCATCTGATCATTAAAACTTCTAAACAAAATGTCGTTTATTTTCATTGTCGGTGTAGCCTTACGAAATAAATATTTCATAACAAAATTAAAACTGAATTAATATCTATAAATCAAACATTTGTAACGTGTGTTCTGTTTCAGCATTCCCCTTTTCCTTGGAGAACATTCCGAGACGAACGAGTTTTGCTTGTTTGTCACTTAAATTTGGGAGTGTATTATCCGCTTTGATTTTAATAGTGAGTATTTAAAGACGACATGTTTTTCATACGTGATAATATAATAACTAAACAATGAATATTTAATTATAGCCTTACAAAAATTGGAATAAAATGTTTCTATTGAAGTACTTTGTAATTTATTAAAATATAAAACTAAGATTTTTAGATGTACTATCGCGTTATTTTATTATTATCAACTACATACTCCAGACTCCAAATCATATGAAATTATTATAGCACATCTGAAAATATTAGTTTTATTCAAATGTATACGAAAGTATTAGATATTAATATTTAGTAATAATATTTTTATAGTTTTTGTAACAAATTCAGATAGCAGGTAGTCAAATAATATTTGTGACAGTAGTCAGTCTACGTTGAAGCAGTAAATTGTGTGCCACAAGTTCATTGTTTTATTTCATTGTTACTCATAAAATATATTAGATTAGACAGTCTTTAAGTTGAGAGTTGAGAGAGAGTCTGGTTTAAAGAAGTACTACTTCTGTAATTTGATAAAAGACGAAAATCCTATTCTATAGTCTTCTTATTATTGCTAATCTTATTTCCTAACTGCTTCGTTGTTTCCTTACAGCTATATTCCGTCTTCGGCCTGGCATCATGTTTGGCAGCTCTGAACGTTCTTCCTTCACAGTGGTCCTTGCAAGACACCGATGTTATTTTCTCTTATGCTGTGATAGTGATCGTAGCTATCATACATGCGATTACATTGTTTCTGAGCACTCTCATGATGATAGGAGTCCTGAAGGTACGTAATAGATTTGACTAAAATTCCTACATTATGCTTAGTTCGGGCCAAACGCTATTATCGATATAGATGCCAAAGCTTGTATTATGTTTGCTACTCTATAATGAAAAAAATACTGAACGGAAATTAATGATACTTGAGTGAAACATAGTGCATATATATAATAGAAGACCCGGCGAATTTCGTATCGCCCTATAATCAAGAAATATCTGTTACTTTTTCAATTTATATTTTTGGAGTTTACCTATTACAGCCATAAATCTCCGTGTTTTGAAGTGCGACAGAATGATTGACATATTAGTAAGTTGTCAAATCTAATGTCAAAAAATACGTTTGTATCAACAACTTCTAATAAATTAAAAATTTATTAAAAAAACATTTTGTAGCGGACAAAATTAATCTAAATCTAAACGATTCCCAGATCTCCTTGAACACACACAAAAAATTTCATCAAAATCGGTCCAGTCGTTTGAGGGAAGTTCAGTGACATACACACTCACAGAAGAATTATATATATATATATATATATATATATATATATATATATATATATATATATATATATATATATATATATATATATATATATATAGATATATATATATACATAGGTCCAAAGGTTAAATCTTTGCAATCAATTGGTTCAAACAAATAGTGTTGGCATTGTTATTGCATAGAAATGTCTATCATTTCCAGGAGAAAGCCAATCTCATCAAGCCCTGGGTGATCCTGACTTCACTCCAGGTGATAGTGGATGTTCTAATCTTCGTCTTCTGGACCACACTCAGTATGATACATCACTATGGTGACGGAGATCTGCTGATGTTTGTTCTGGAATTTATGGGACTTAGTAAGTACTTAATGAGTACTAAAATTTTCGAAAGTATTCATTGAAATAAAAACTAATATTTTTCGGATTTGCTTCGCGTTTAGTTTTATCAGATGACATCTAGTCTGTATGTGATCACGGTTGAAAAATCAGAAGTATGTTGTTAAAAATAATTATAATTTAAGAGTATGTAGTAAATCCGAAAAATATTAGTTTTTACTAAGTATATTTTAAATATTACCCTCAAAATATGCCCTCAAAATGTTTGTCTGTTTTTTAATAGTACGGCTGAATTTTCGAAATGACTGGTTCGATTTTGACGGAACTTTCAATGCACTATGTTTAGCTCATTTATTTTAGAAATTGAATATATTCTATTAATATGGGTAGTGAAAATATACATATTTTAATAGCACAGAAGCGCTAGCACAGCCAATTTAAATAATAAAATAGTGAAATACAAAATTTTTAAAAACAGGGATTTGTACCCACAAAATTTATAGCAACTCAGTCACAAAAGTCAGTGGTGGCTGAGTGGTTAAAGAGCCCGCCTCTCGTCGCCGAGGGCGCGGGTTCGATCCTGGCCCGGGCAAGTACCAATGTGATTTTTCCGAATCATATGTACTTTCTAAGAGTATTTAGACATCACTGAATTAATGTTGATTCCCAAAAAGAGGGTTGATGTCAGGCAGGCGGCCGGTCGTAAAAACAAATAGCCAAAAACTTTTCACAACATGTAAGGCAGACCCTGGCTATAGCTGGGAAATTGCCAGGCAGAAGAAGAAAATTTATAGCAACTATTTTATTTAATTGAAGAATTCTATTTTAAAAAAGAGGGTTAAACTATGTATTCCTTATGCTATAAAAAGTTGGTTTAATGACTCATCTGTCGTCGGTGGGGAACCGGCGTCCGGGTAACATAGGCTAGAGGAAGAGCGGCGTGTTTGGCGTTCCCGGCACGCTGCTCTTGAGTCGGAGGGGTGGTGTGGTCAGCCACTGATACCCCTGCCGATGGCGGAGTCCCTTTCGGGACTCGTGCGTAGTGAGCGGAAGTATGGCTTGCCGTTCCCGCTCACTAGTCTACGCACAGCGCAGAGAACGTCGAGGTGGTTTAGTGGGTGGAAATCCCACATGCCCCTGTCGCGTTTCCCCCGCGGCAGGAAGTCTTTAAAAGATTCCCCTCGTAGAAAAAAAAAAAAAATGACTCATCTGTCCTTTTTATAATCAGCTTTTATAGCAGTCAGAATATTTCAGTGATAAAATAATATACACTGATGTAATTTTTCTTAATAATCTCGTAAATTTGATTAAATGTTTAATAGTATTTTATTATAAATTCCAGAGTTCAATCAATTCAAAGCTAATATAAATTACTTAACAACCTTTTTGTTTTGGAAAATAAAGATTTAAAATTGTTTATTTATATGAACATTAATAACTTTAAATCTTTTTCAGTGATAAGATTCTACATGCTGATGATCGTGTCCAGTTTTTATAAGAAATTAGAAGAAGCTACCTTAGAGGAACGTGAGAAATTAAGAAATATTACCAACAACGAAAGCTGGTACTACACAGCTTAAAACATTTACATATATTATTGTTATATAAGTAATACATATATATTTTCTTATATATATTTTATTTTTACTCTATAAAAGTTTCTTAAAATTAATCAGTAACATAATGTTTCTATCAACTACATAATTTGAATACTTTAAAGCAATATAAAAATATATTTTCTCAGATATAAAATATGATTTCTTAATATAAAAATATATCTTCCGATTCGTGATACGAAAGTTTTTATAGATTTGTACATACCTTTAAATATAAATTAAATTGTAGAAATACGTTGGTTATATCTAATAATTATTGTTATAATCACATTAATATTAATATATATTTGTTAACAATAATTCAATAAAAAATATTTTGAACAAAAAAGTCTGGTTCTACCAATTAATATTTTCACAATATTTGGCACACTAACGAGCATACATATATTGTATATAAGTCTTTAATATCACCTCTTTTATAATCTATTATAAAATTAATTTCCATATATGTAAACTTCTTGGTAAGTGGATAATGGCAGAGTAAATAATTCTGAAGGCGTTTGTTTCAATACACTATAGTCTGGTATTGTGTTTCCTTCATAATATATATTTTTTATACTTTTACGTAATCAGGCTTCTCTCGTGTATGTGACGGTGTCATCTCTTTCCGTTTTCTTGATCATACTCCAGATTATTAAAATCATATAGATATTGATTACTGAAAAGTGAAAAAAATATTGTTATAGTAAATATAATAAATCCATCCTTCTCTTTTACATATTGTTCACATTTGTCTGAGAATACTTAAAAATATATTCTTCCTATTTTCCACACAAGTATAAAGCTTATTAAAGGATAAATAAAACAAATGAACTAAAATTGTACGTTAATCTGATCGATAACTTATGTTTTTTTATTTATACAATTTCTTTTCTTTTCAGAAACAATTGATACATTTTTATAGCTTTAATTTCTTAATAATTCAACTACATAATTAATCTGTTATATTGTCATGTATATTATATAGGTTTCCATTAACTATAATGAGATCTAAGATTTTCGCGAGTACTCATTCAAATGAAACTAATATTTTCGGATTTACTACGCTTTTTTATTACGGGAACCTCACATCTCGTCTGCACGTGATCACGGTTGCTGTAAAGTAGCCGAAACGTCGGTAGTATGTAGTTTATAGTCAAAAATAAAAATGCGTAGTAAATTCGAAAATATTAGTTTCATTTCCATTTACTATATTTTCCAGAAGTGAAAAGTGTTGAAACCTGTTTATTTATTTCTACTGGATAGTACTTGACTGTTATTCTATTCTTTGGAAGGTGGAATACGAGCCGTAGATGGTGAATTAGAACTAGGTATCTCAGTATCAGCCTCTTCACCCATTTTTTTGGTGAAGACACCAAAATCTTAGCTATTTAGAAACACAGATGTAAAGAATCTTAATCTCTTATTCGTAACAATGAGATATTCATTATGTACCTATTTCCTATACAAGTTTTAATGTATATAGTTTTATTGTTTAAAACATAATTATAAGTATGATAATGTTTAACTTACTTAATTCGAAGAGTATTAAGAATAGTTCGTCGCCAATTTCCCTGATGAGCACCGCGATGCTGTATATGAAACCGATGACAAGGAACACTATTTTCAAGTACATATAACATTTCATTAAAAGCAGATGTTTCTGTAATAAAAAGTTTATATCTTTTAGAATATCATTAGCACGTAATTTATATTTTATTTGTATGATAAAAGCAGTAATACGTTATTAAAATTATGAATAATATTTAATATAAGGCATTTTTTATCGTCATGAGACGAAACCTTTTAGCATTCAATGGATTCACCGTGCGGGTGCCGGGTCCATCGTTGCAGGGAGAGGAGCTTCAACAGTGCCTGGGACTTGCGACCCAGGTGTAGGTTTAAGGTTATAAAGTTTTCTTTATAAATTATATTCTTCTAAAAATCTGTTTCTTTAAAACGTTTTACACAATACGATTTATTTAAATATAGGTTATACGTTTAATAAAAATAAAATTACCCTATGTAAGGCGACAATAAGCACTATAGTTATGACAAACTCCAGTACAAGTTCTGTGATGTTCACAACTAGATTTGGCAGCTCGTAGATGTCCTCATTATCCTTCTGGGAGTTTCTGATGTATGACATGTATATAGAAAGCGCAGATGTCAATATTACCAACAAAAGCTGAAAAAATTTCACAATTATACAATAGGAAGAAGTTTTAAACAAACAGAGATGTATTTTTAAAGACCTTCAAATAAAACTTGACCATAGAAAATGAAATATAAGTTTTCGGTATTCATTTTAAAATAAAAAAAAAACTTGTTATAGAAAAATCGATTTAAAAGTTACGTTTGAACGAATTATATTACAAAAATCTTAAAAATATAGTTTCATTTATGTAAATAACAATTTTATGTATTAATCGATGAAAATTCAGGTATTCCTAGAATGATTACTAGTTACAAAATTTTGCATCTCAAAACGTGTTCTGAACAAGTACATATTTATATAATTTATTATCAACTTTGTCTTAGCAAAATTTCTCCAAAACTTTTTCTTCGATATGTTATTCGTTATGCGAATCATATGTATTGGTTTAGGCAAGTTATTTGCTTACTTTCTATAGTAATGTTGCTACTTTTTATCGGTGTTTGGATTTTCTATATTTTTAGGAACTAGAACAAGATTAATATATACAAAATAAATTTTATGCATATATTAAATAGATTTTTTTTTATCCTACCATTTTTAATAATAACTTATATTATGAAATTTAAGTTTAAAACTAAATAATTATTGATTATCCTATTTCTTACCATTTTGTTATAAATACCCACATGTTTTTTTCTTGTTAGGAATCACATTAAAACTATTTCGGCTGCTTATCTGAATTTTCATTTTACTACTATTTTTAATTTAATTTTATTATTAATTTATTGGTATAAAAACTTACCAAATATCCGTAAGCAAAAGTTATAAGTCCTTTTCTAAGCGGGAAACAGAAGCAGCACCTCGTCAGAATTGGTATTTCTATATATGAAGATATTTTATCTCTGAAAATATTTAATTGAAAATATTAATTAATATAACGATATACCAAAGGTTATATGAAATAAACATAGTATAGGCACAAAATATTTTTTTTTTAAAGAAAAGTGCCTACTTCTAACTCGATAAGGCAAAATGTCCTTTCATTAAACTTTTTTCATGTTTTTTGGTATATAAACAGCGGCGATATTGTTATTGCTAACTTTTCCATTGAAACTTGAAGGTATTTACTATATATGTGTTATTAATATATGTTTTAGTTGATGGTAAACCATTATCATCGTTTTAAGAGCATATAATACAAAGTAAAATAGCTAAAATTACTAACCAAGTAAAACTAAATCTTGATAATGTTACTTAAGCGAGTGTTAGATTTTACATGTATGTACTTTTATTTATAGAGTGCCATATATTCCGTATTGAAAATATATACTGGCAGTTACAATTAACTTTGATATGTGTAAAATAATATACTACTGTAATTATTATTTCTTACATAATAAAAATAGAGCATTTTTTAAATTGATAAAGCAAACTGAATAATATTTATCTAAAATAATTTACATATGTTTAAAATATAAATCGTACGAAAACTTTTTTAGTTAAACTCCAAGCGAACACAGTGGTAATCAACTACATATTTATAAAATAATAGCACTCTGCTACGCTTAAGTGACCACGTTAAACCTAATTTATCTGACAAACGGAAATCTTAAACACAGCATTTATCAGGATTAAATTAACCGTGACACGATCGAATATTTACTTCTTTTACCTGCCAAATTTCCCAGCTTTGGCCAGGGTCTGCCTTGCATGTTTTGAATAGTTTTGGCTAATTGTTCAAACTGACATCAACCCTTTTTGGGAATGCATTAATCAGTGATATCTAAATACTCTTAGAAAGTACATATTATGACTCGGAAAAAACACATTGGTACTTGCCAGGACCAGAATCGAACCCTCGCCTTCGTGCATGAGAGGCGGGCCTTTTAACCACTAGGCCACCACTGACTCCTGACTGGCTGGCTATCGAATATTTACTATTTTATTATTTTTTTTTAAATTGCTGTATATTTCTGTTTCATAACACATTTGAATAAGATGAAAAATATAATAACAGGACTTTGCGAGAAATTTTATGAAGATGGCTGAAGTTTATTGCGACTTCTGATGAAGTCAAAATATTTAATTAATACATACAATATGAGAATAGTTAATGTTGAATCATATATTATGTCGAATACATAAATCTTAATAGATTTACTGATCTTAATGACATTCATATAGTTAAAAGAAAATATATTTGAGATAGGAGTTCTGGTATTAAAATTAATCTAATATCAAAATTTACGAGCTTACTGAATGTAACACATGATTTCGTGTTTTCGCCAGGCTTGTACAATTTTCTTTCTACGAAACTATTTCAGTTGAAAATTATGTATGTGAGTATTTGTTAGCATTAAAAGGAATAAGCCATTTATATTTTATATATTACAAGTATTAAACAGGAGTATCTTAAATAATGTTATTACATATACATTGCATATTTTATTATCAGAAAACTAACAATATATACTCTTCTTCCGATAATTTATCACATTGAGGTGGTATCTTGTATTAATTTGCCTTTTTTTTGTTTATATTTCAAAATATCTTGTAACACATTAACGAGATGGGTTTTTCTTAAAAAATACTAATAAAATGAGGTATGGAACATTTAAAAAAGAATCACTTAATAATAAACGTATTCACATCTCATTTGCCCGTGATCACGGTTGGTGAAAAGTAATCGAAACGTCGGGCGTATGTACTTTTACAATAATAAAATTACGCGTAGCACATAATCCGAATAATATTAGTTTCATTTAAATGTATATCCTAAAATTTTTATATGGTCTTAATTTATTAACATTTAAATATTATTCATATAACGCTTTATGTATCTTACTTTGCTACATATAGTCAAGTTTTATATTTGATTACTTCAAGTTCAATACTACAATAGAAATGTCTTTATATTTGACGTTTAGTTACAACACAAACATTGAGGAAACATTATGGGTTGACGTACATATATGTGTGTCAAAGTCATGGTTCTGTGTGATGTTTAATATAATAATTTATTGTGTTTCTAATAAATTTTATAGCAAAGAAATAGTTTTGTTCACTTCTTCTTCATATAAATTTGGACTGTAAATTAAAAAATATCCTTTGCAGCAGTACTTTAAAGATGGATACAAAGTTAAAGTAATATTGTGATGTATCAATTACAAATTTTTACACAATTCGAGAATTAATTCGTTTCAATTGTCTTTACTATTTTATAACTTTTACGTCATTGCATAGAAATCTGTAGTATTGCTTACAATAACATTATTGTACAAAATAGATATATACTTTCTCGAAAGAGTTTATCTTTAATCAACATGTTGGTTTTAAACAATTTATTCTTTTAGTTCAACATTTTATGAAGTTTAAACCATATTTACATTATCTTAAGTATGTATAATTTTTGCATATTTACTTTTGAAAACTAAATCATATTTAGTGTATCTTTATTGCATTCTACAATCTTTTTTTCTTTCTTAAAGCTTTCTTTGGACAAATTACACGATAGTTTTAAAGAAACAGTTTTTAAAAGGCACTTAATTATCATACAATCTCGATGGATGGATATTTGTCCATTCAGATTGGTCTGGCTATTTTCAAAATACATTAGATAGCCAACCTAAATGTAACGTATACATTTGAAATTATTTACAATATTTCCTACACCTAAAGCAAAAATCATACCTCAGACTGCCTACAGCCTACTTTACCTATAACGTGAGATCAATTTTTACTTACCTGTAGTGCTTCGTACCTAAGAATAAGTAGATATAAGTTAGCACATATTATGTTTACGTTTTACTATAGCCAATACTAATCTTTTATTTTTTTTTTGTCTACTAATGTTGGAATATAAGCTTACATCAGCAGCAACATAACAACAGTCTGTGACTCAATCTTACATACAATAAAATAATTATAAAAAGTGTTGCATTCATTTCACTAAGAGTACAGTATCTTGCCATAGTAACTTATTAACGTGTCTTGACTATTATGTAATTGTAAGATGTTAGATAGCTTATATGCCGTAATATTTTAAGCTGTTAATTTTTCTTGCTATAAGTGAATAATGAATTAGCTTGTTTTCGTTTTAGATTCATTACGTTCTATTTATTATTTGTCAATGTCAATGTTTTGTTATCAATTACATCTATCTTGTCTTTTAATTTTATAAACGAATTTCTCATCTTTTAAACTGATTTAAAAGGAGTGTTTTGAATATATATAAAATGGTCTCAGAAGTAAAAAAGTTTTCAGTGTCTGGTCGCGACATTGTTCGTTCATAAATTCCTCTGTACATAACTCAGTAAATATAATATTTATAGGCTATATACATACATGACATTGGCGTAATCAATCTCAAAGAAGACAATACAATACATATATCCAAATCATCTCTTCTAAATGGTCCACAGATTATTTGTACTATAAGGTATTTATGCAATTCTGTGATGTAAAGTATAAGAAAAGTAGGTCATTATGCAACAACCGGGAGATTAAGTATTATGTGTGAAGGAAATGTTTGTTAGGATGTGATTTATTAACAACCAGATATAATCTATATATAAAAGGAAGCTGTTTTAGTTACACTATTTATAACTCAAGAACGCCTGGTGGGATATGGTTGACAATTGGTGGGGAGATCGCTTAGAACCAGGAGAAGGACGTGGGATATTTAATTCTCTTCGATCAAAAAAGGAAAAACACTTAATAAATTGTAATATCTGGTTATTTATGGCATATAGGGTGGAATAGAGTTTACTCAGTATACATATACCTATTACTAATATCGAAATTAGCGCGGACGAAGTCGCGGACACAAACTAGTTTAGTAACATATAATTAGAAAGAAAGATAGTTTTTTATGTTATCTAACGAATCTTTTGTGGACTTTTAATATTTATTTCCCTAAGATTTTATCTGAGATAAATAAAGTTAAATATGATTTTAGATAGCCACTACTCATTTAAAATTCTTAGTTCTTGAAGCGAGAATACATAATATGTAGCTAAATCTGTTTTAAA